GAACACCTGCACCGATGGGGCCTCCACAACCTCTCGTGGAAGCCCATTCCACACCCTTGGGGTCCTAACTGTCCGGAAGTGCTTCCTGGCATCCAAATGGAACCTTGGCTCCCTGAGCTTTGCTCCGTTGGAGCACGTCCCGCCTTCCTCTGCAGGGGAGGACAAGTCTCTACCCAGCTCTATGTGACATCCCCTCACATACCTGTATGTCGCCAACATGTCCCCTCTGAGTCTCCTCTTCTCATATATCACTAAGGTGGGAGAACAGAGTGACCAGGCAACCCAGGTGACCAGGGTTCTTCCTCTCTAAACTGGGCTGCCCATCAAATGGAGGGGTATCCCCTGTTAAATAGCACACCTGGCCACTTTGCCTGCTCTGCTTGATTGTACAACCAGAGCTGTATGACTATCATCCATGTGGCTAGTTTTGTGGATATGCCTATTCCTACTGTTCGTTGGGGGAAAAGAATCTGAGCATCTTCTCAAACATCTCCAGAAGTGAGAGCATTGGTTATGTGGTCAGGACAACACCCTCCACCACAAGAGTGGCTCATGAAGGCATCAAGTTGGAAGGGGTCATTTAAGCCATTGAGTCCAACTCCTTGCCCTGTGCAGGATTTCAGATTAAAGCACCCCTGGCAGACAGCTGCCCAGTCTCCACTTGACTAGCTGCAGCAAGAAAGAGGATTCCACCTCCCTAGGCTGTTGGCTTCCTTGTTGATTGTTCCGACAGCAAGAATTTCTTGATATTCAGGCGAAGTTTGCCTTCCTTTAACTTAGCCTACTCTTGGATGATAGGGAACAGGTTGTGCTCGTCTTTCGTATGACAATGCTTTAGGTACTTGAAAAGCGCTGTCATCTCATCCCTCAGTCTTGTGAAGGCTACACACATCCCATTCCCTTCAATATTTCCTCACAGGACTGTGTTTTTAGTCCCCTGATATTGCCCTTCTCTGAACTCATGCCAATTTATCTGAATCCCTTTTACACTGCAGGCTCAGTGAAATTCCAAGGTTCACTGAAGTGACAAAATCTTTGGGGAATAAAACCCCTCTATGGAGGAGCCCCCTCCCCTGCTCCACTGCCTAATGAGGACTTTACATACTCAGTGCTTAGACCCCTATGTGTGGGGCACATGGGAAAGAAATTGGGAGGGAGGGGAAACAGAATGGTGTATCCCGAACAAGGGCTGCAATGTTTCTTCTTGTAGCTTAACCTGAAATACAGTATGCTTCAAAAAGATGACACATTACAACTGACTATCAAATGTATTTTTTAATTTAAACGTTAAGATAAAATTACAAAAACTACTGAAGCAATGAATCTATGCAGGAAAAAAGGTTGAAAATAACTCAGATTACATTTGCAGCCTGATCCTAGACATAATTACACAGAAGTAAATCCTACTTAATTCAATGCAGCTCACTCTCAGGTAAAGTTGCATAGACAAGGCAAGCCTACACATGTCTACCCAGATGTAAAGCACAGAATTCAGAAGTGTGCAGCATTCTCCACCCTCATGCTGTCCAGATGTTTCAGATGACAACCCCTGCCAGCCCCAGCTTGCATGGCCAATGGTCAGGGATGCTGGGAGCTGTAGTCCAAAACATCTGGAGGCCACTGGGTTGATGTGTAGGATTTCAGGCTTAGTTATTCACCAGTGAAGCAAAAACATATTGTCAGCAATAGAAGTTTTCAAAAGGCATGATATCCAACAAAACACCAATAAAGTCACTGGAAACGGTGGACTTTGATGAAAGAGAAATTATCTTTGTGTTTAAGTTGTGCCTTTTATTTACTGGGAACATGAAATCATTATCTAAGAGGCCTTTTCCTCTCTCTGGAGGAGACATTCTAAACATGTTCATGTTGCCCTACTGAAAATGAATAGCCACTGCTTTACTTGGCATAGTTGGTTCTATTCTACACTTAAAAGGTAATCACATGCAATACATGTCTTGGTTTTTAGACAACAATGATTTCAGTGGAGAGGGGAATTTAAACAAAGGTATTATTTCCCTGAAAGGCAAAAATCCTGTCCACCCTAATGAGTACATAGGTAGCAGCCTTAGTATTCAAGTAATCAATGGGCCAGATTCTCAGCAAGTGAAAATGAACACAGCTCCATGAAAATCCTACCTATTCTCACAGTGGATGAGAATCCAGGCCAAGATGATCATGTATGCAAAAAGAGAATTCAGCCAGGAGTGTTTGCCTGTGCAAGTTCTCCTGAAATGGGGTCGGACACAAACACAGGTAAAGCTCCTGTAGCTCTCCTGTTAAGGTGGAACTCTGCGTAAGGAATTCACAGGTAAGTAGCGTCGGCTGTGGCTAAAGATGGCCAAAATCCCTGCTCTCTGTATGATTTTGGTTTCCATGTGCTATCAGGATGGAAAGCAATGACCTGTTTTGCCAGTATTTCGGCCTACCTGTATGCGGAGATCTGCCAAACCCACACATGCTGTTTGCGCAGCGAGCAAATTTGTATGCATCAGGAATGAGAACCCGATTCTTGGAGAGTCGAGAGGGCTGCCATCATTTGATTGAGTCGCACTTTTCTTTCTGCTCCTCTCTTTGTGTAACTGCAGACTTCTTGAATCAAAATAACCTTCTGGAACTATTAGTAGTCAAACTTTTTTTCTGCCACAGGCCTTGAATGCCTTAGAGCAGGGGTAGGCATCTGGTACCCTCCTTACATTTTCTCACAACTCCATACAACATGGTCAGGGATTGTGGAACTTGTATTCTATACACAAGTGCCTTCCAGACATTTGACCGCAACACCCAGGGGTGTACTCACTTTTGTTGCCAACAGTTTAGACACTGATGGCTGTGTGTTATTTTGAGGGGACAGCAAATTTACACTGTTATACAAGCTGTACACTCACTATACATTGTAGCAGTGTCATTTCTTCAGGGTTGTCACATGAAAAGATGTATTTACAAAATGTGAGGGGTGTACTCACTTCTGTGATATACTGTAATTCCGTGTCAATGGTCCTGCTAGATCGGAATTCTGAGAGCTGTGATGCAAATGCCTCTGAAAGCCACCTGGTTGGGGAAGGCTAGTCTAACTCATTTGGAAGGCACCAGTTTACCTCTCTTGCCTTAGACTGTAAAAAAGGTCTTAGGTGTCATTGAGCTGCTGATTACAGTTTGTGCTGTTTTTGTGTGTTATGTCAATGTAATGCTGTGTAATAATAATAATAATAATACTGTTTTATTGCTATTGAGTTGGTTGGCAGTTGCTTGTTTTTCTGTATTATCGGGTGTCTGTAGGGAGACATTTCAGTTTGAGCATGTACAGCAAAGGGGAGAAAGAAAAATTTCAGATCGGAAAGATAAATAGCACAACTAGGTTGTGCTTCCTGATTACTATGTAAACTAGCTAGACTATTATCTTCCTTTATAGCTAGATGATTAAATTAGATATGACTTCCTTATAATGGATACTGTTTGAGCTTGTTGTAGAATTTGGAATTCCATAATAGAGATCAGAATAGTCTTGACGGGAAGCTGTGGGGTGCTTGTGGACACCCTGTGGGAGTGAAGAAAAGAGTAACTCAGACATGGGTGAACTGAATTTGGGGAAGGTAATCACAAATACTAGGCATCTGGGGAAGGTAATCAAAATAACTCAGAGCTCTTTCTGGCCATGCTGTCAACGCTATTGGAGTTAGTCTGCTTTTGGTGGCACATTCCAGATGGCACAGCCTTTCCCTGCCTTCACTGAAGAATGGGATGGTGGCCTTTTTAAAATGTGCACTTCAGGTGTAACAGCATATTAAGGCCACCACTTCTAAGCCCCTAAGTGCCCGTCTCTGAAGATGCCTGAGCCTTCTCTAGCTAGGAGGTAGCCAGTCAATCCATAGCATGTCTGATTCTTCCAGACAGATTGTTAAAGTGCCAAAGGCATATGCTGTGAGTAAGAGCATATGATTTATGGATAGAAATGAGATACTACAGCTGGAAATCTAAAACCTGCACATGTCCACTATGTGAAGAAAACAAGGGTTAACTCAACATGCATGTACATTGCTCAATACCGCATGATTCAGGGTTATCACCTGAAGCTGATCTACAAGTTACACTCACCACAGGGCTTTGTATCCCCCACAGTCAATTTTCCACAGGTAGCGATAATATTTGGCAGCACTCGTTATGAATCAACGTAAGTGGAGCAGCCATGCTGGCGGCTTGTACACTGCAAAGACTGCTAGATAGTATAGCTGTGTGTGTGTGCGCGCGTGTGTGTGTGTAAAACCTGCCACAAGAACGTGGCCCAGTTTTTTTGAGATTTGCAGCTGAAACTGTAGATTAGCTCCACTTAAAAGTTCTGCAGTATGAGACGATGCATGGAAAAAAGAAAACTACACCTGTGATAGTTGATCAATGATTATCTCGCACAACCAGTTCATCAAGGGAAAAGTACAAATCTGTGGTCTGCCACTAATCCAAAAGCCTGCTAGTGGGCAGACATATCTGAAAGGTGTTGCAAATCCAGTTGCCTGTGTAGGTTCTGTTCCTGTCAGGTTCCGATTCCTAGCCGGACCACTCCAGAACTGGCAAACTCTGAAATGGTTTGATTGAACGTCTTGCAACTGCAGATTCCCAGTCTCCACCTCTTTGCATGACTGTACATTCAAAGTATAAAAAACTGCAGATATGCAATATGCTCAAACAGTTAAAAAATATACCCTATTTCATTTGTAAACTATCAATGCAAGATATTCAGCTGTACAGAAGCCATGTTTCTCCTGGTCTTCAGCTGTCCTAGAAAGACTGATGTCTGCTGACATTAATGTAATTGTTGGAAACATCTCTGAGGTTACATGTAGAAACAATCAAGGCAAGAATAAATTTTGTACATATTGTTAAACATGCAAAAACTTCCTGAAGAATATTGCCCAAAGGTCAAAAGTCTTTTGGAACCTCAGATTCTCCTTGGTAGCATTTGTTTTTGCAAGTATGGCTAACACTTGATCATGAAGTTCTCCTGTTTATTTTGGAGAAGCAGCACCTTTAATAACAGGTTCCCTGTTCAAATACGTGGCCCAATAAACTAAGTTAAAAGTTCCAAACAGGACTGGGAAAACTATTCGGGACATCTTGTCAATCTTACTGATGCTGTTATAGGTCTTTTTGTTTTCAGCAGGTTTCTCAACGGGTTTTGCTGGAACAGGTGCTGAGTTAGAGATGACTGAAGGGCTGGAGTCTTTTGGTATGCTTAATGTAGGGGTCGTCTTTCCAATGTTGTAAGTGTTCATGGATTTGTTTGCCAGTAATTCACGCTCTTTTTTCTGTAAAACAATGGAAAACCAAAACACTAGGGTATCTCTCTCTCTGTCATGACTGAGATATTAATAAACAATTTGAGTTTTGCAGAAAGTCACTGCAAAATCTGTATTACTTATTTACACTTTAGCATCGCTTTGATCACATGAGGCACAATTTAAATGGTGCTACTTTGCTAAATGGATAAATTTACTTTCTTCTAATGCACTGATGAATCTAATCCCCACTATGTCTGGAAAGCTGGTCTGGATTTATGAAACAGACACAACAACCCCAGCTTCCATAAAGACATATTCAAAAATATGGGTCAAATCAGTGTTTTATCACATCATTCTGGCTGTATGGATATAGATCTTTCAAAGCAAAACTAATTGATCTCAACTCACTTCAGAGAACTTGGAGGATTTAGCTTAGCACTTAGATCCAGAATTAAAGAAGATTTTCTCCTTTAGTACTCCTTTTGCTTGGAATTCCCCCACCTCCAATACAGAGGTGAAAACACATTTCCCTTCCTTCAAACCCCATTCAAAGTCAATTGCTTTAGTCAAGACTTTAGTCAAGCCCCTTAGGCATTTTCCTTAACTGAAGCAAAGCCTAAGAACATGCTACTGCATTTGTTGGACTTCTTATCTTTCCTTAATATCTCTCTCCAATTCCAAAGTTTACATTTATATTGTAAACTCATTGAGGGCAGGGAATCATCTTCTGTTTATGCTCCTTTGTACCTGCCATGTACCTGATGGTACAATACAAACAAGGAATAATAATAAAGTCTGTCCTGTTATATGTATCTTTAAGTTCACTGACCATAACACCCAAGAAGCAGGTTGCAACATTTTTTATTGGTTGGTATAAACCAGATGTGCAGAACCTCTTTCAGTCTAATGGTAAAATTTCATTTCAGAGAAGCTCTTTGGGACCACATTCCAGTGGTGAGATTAATGATCTTACTGGCAATATGGAAGCCATGGGAAATAGCACTTCAACATTTTAGAATGGTAGGAGAAGAATGTACCAAAGCTGGGAAACTACCAAAGGGCTGGGCATGGGGAAAAGAAGGTGAGACAAGGCCAGCCTGGCACTACTGGAAGCCTGAATTTGGTTCCTGGGCCTGAGGTTCTGCATCCCTAATGGTAACAAACAAGCACCTCACTGGAGTCAGTAGCTACGCATTGCAGGAATTAGTCCTAGATTAAAATGCACATTACTGCAGTGCTTGATCAACACCTCAGATATGTAGAGACGGATTTAGCAATCTGCTTAAAGAAAACTTATCTATCTATATTGTGATTTATATCCTGCCTTTTTCCCCAAAGGGCTAAAGGCAGCTTACATCATCTCTCCTCCTCCATCTTATCCCCACAACAGCAACCCTGTGAGGTAGGTTGGGCTGAGAGTCTGTGACTGGCCTGAAGGCACCCAGTTGGCTCCATGGCTGAGCGGGGACTAGAACCCGGATCGTCTGAGTCCCAGTCCCATGCTCTCAACCACTACGCCACACTGGCTACTTGTGGCATTCCATGTTCTGGGCCACTGGGCAAAGCAATACCATCCAACTAATGGAAAAAGGAAAATATGTTGTAAGGATCCCATTTTCTTTTCTTTTTAATAATGTAGCACAATTAAATAATTTCCTGAAAAAAGAACTCTACCTGCCCTACTACAACCAGATCTTTTGGTCCAGACCAGGGTGCAGCAAGATTACAACCTAACCAAACTTTGATCCCAGCTAATTAACTTTTAAGACTGATTATCCCTGTGAAATCAATAGGATAGCACTTTGGTTATATAAGACTCCCACTTCCAATTGAATGTGCAAAATCACAGGAATTTTCTATCATGAGTGCTTGCACAAGAGGATTTCTCGCTGGATTATGTCCACTGAATTTCCAAGCAAGCTAATAAATTCTTCCTCATTTCCCTTCCCACCACTACCAATGCAGCTCAGCAATTATTAGATGAGCTTCAGTTACTGAGGCCCAAGGATGTGGGCAAGATGCCTGGGCTTCCAAGGAAGGTGGTGGAGGCCCCATCAGTGAGGATGTTCAAGGCAAGATTGGACAACCACATGTTGGGGATTACATGAGCAGAGTCGGGTGGAGCCGGGGGTCAGACTAGATGGCCCAGGAGTCCCCTTCTGACTCGCCTTGTTTCTATGTTTCAAGTCCCGCCTTCCACATGTGTGCTCAGCTCTTGCCCTTCATGGCTTATTAGATCAGACCAGGAAAGGATTTCTACTTGGGACCAGGAGGCTGTGAATGCCTCCTTGAGAGAGGGAGTCAATTAAACCACTCATGAAAAAGCCCAACCAGGACCCAGAGGATTTTAATAACTATAGTCCAGTGGCCAACATCCTATTCCTGGGCAAGGTGCTTGAGTGGGTGGTAGCTGAACAGCTCCAGGCACTCTTGAATGAAATGGACTATCTGGATCCATCTCGATCAGGATTCAGGCTCGGTATCGGAACAGAAACTGCCTTGGTTGCCCTGTGGGTGGACCTCTTCAAGGAGAAAGATGGGGAAGTGCAATCCTGTTGATCCTCCTGGACTTCTCAGCATCTTTTGAGACCATCAACCATGGTATCCTTCTGGATAGGCTGCCTGGGCTAGTGCATTGCAGTGGTTCCGCTCCTTGATCAGACAATTCCTGAAGATGGTGCTGGGGGATTATTGTTCTATGCCATGGCAGTTCTGCCCTGGGGTACTGCAGGGTTCTATTTTATCCCTATGCTATTTAACATCTATATGAAACTGCTGGGAGAGGTCATCCAGAGGTATGGGCTGAGGTGTCATCAATATGCAGATGACACTCACAGCTACTGCTTTTTTTATTTTCACTCATTCAGTGGCCAATCTGATTCAGTATCTGGACGTGGCAAGGGACTGGATGAGTGCCAACAAACTGAGACTCCATCTGGATGAGGCAAAGGTGCTGTTGGTGGGTGAGCAATTTGTCCAGTTGGGTGTTATCCAACCTGTTCTGGATGGGCTACACTCCCCCCAGAGTACAAGGTTCATAGTTTGGGGAGTGTTCCTTGCCCAGGATTGCCACTTGAGACACAAGCAGACGCAGGGGAATGGAGCACTTTTTATCAGCTTAAGATAAACTACACCTCTATCTGGACAGAAGAAGTCAAACTCCCTCCCTCTGCTAACCTCTCATCTGGATCACTGCAATGCACTGTACGTGGGGCTGCCACTGAAAATGGCCTGGGAACTTCAACAGATCCAAAACAGGGCAGCACGATTATTAATTGAAACTGCCTCACAAGAACACCTTATGCCAATCCTCTTCCAGCTACACTGGCTGTAGATTGAAGTCCAGACCCAATTCAAAATGCTTGTACTAACAGTTATATCCCTAAACAGCTTGGGACCAGGTAACCTGAAGAAAAACCTCCTACCCAGAACGTGAGGTCATCTTCCAGGGTCCTGTCCTGGGGCCCCCTTCCAAATGAAGTGAGGCAAGTGGCTACTGGGGGAGGGCCTTTTTGGTTGTGGTCTCATAGTTTTGGGACGGGCTCCCCAAAGAGGTGCATCTGGTGCCGACTTTGTATTTTTTGGTGCCAGCTGAAGACCTTTTTATTTTTGCAGCATTTTAACCATTTAACTTTGTTTTGATATATTCCATTTTATTCTGAATCACTGCTGTGCTTCTATCTGAATAACACAGCTGTCCCCTTTTAAATTGTTTTTTAAACCTTTAATTTTAACGTTAACTTTAGCAAGACACGCTCGCCTATTGGGTGGTATAAAATCAAATCAATCAACAAACATTTTAGCTCTTCAAAGATATATAACATCCACCTTCTTTTTTGCAGCCTCCAAAGCCTTCTTGCCATCCCAGGCCCAGCTTCTTTTGGTAAAATAGTTGACCGTAGCAAATTCAATCAGTGCAGAAAATACAAAGGCATAGCACACCGCTATGAACCAGTCCATGGCAGTGGCATAGGCCACTTTTGGTAGAGAGTTGCGGGCACTGATGCTTAGTGTCGTCATTGTAAGCACAGTAGTGACGCCTTTGGAAAGGAACGGGAAGAAAGCAAGGCAATGGTTAGAATCCTCAAATGATTTTACAGCTGATTTAGCCTGAACACTTTCTAAAGCAGGGGCCAGCACAGATCTGACCCAACACAGTCTTTCTGGGACCTTCTCCTTCACCCTTTCTCCTGTTGCTACATTTCCAGGAGAAGTGCAATTGTGCTTGCTACCAAGACAATCATACGTCTGAGTGGGAAACTTCTGGAATGCTGGCAAATCACTATGCTGGCAAATCTGGCAGCAGAGTGCTACTCCTGATGCATTTGGAGAGGACAGGATGTGACCCCCAGAACTTGTCCATCCCTGATTTCAAGTAAGCATTCACTATAAATTACTAACAGTTCCTTTGAAAGCATCAGACGCTGGGAGTTTTCAAAATATTCTATTATATTCAAATTTGAAAAGTGCTAAGGGTGAAAAAAGCTAGAAACTGGGGCTGTCATTAGTACATGGATATTATCAGTATCTACATTATGTACTGTTTTTTTAAATCATACAAAGGAAAAGTCCTTCATGGGGAGGAAATGTGTGTCACTTTACATAACTTAAATTCATCAAAAGCAGCAGGCATCAGTGATTCATTCAAGCAGGATACTGTGGTGATTGAGTTGACCTCACAATTAATGACAAGACCCAACCAGTAACATGAACAGGGGCATAAATGGCTGAATACTTAGTAATGCAGTACTCCGTCACAGCCACCTCTGAGGTTCTACCTCCCAAATTCGGTGATCAAAAGTGCATGCAGGGAGAAAGCTAGACTGGGGGGGACTAGGAGATAAAGCATTAGATGACCTTTGGGGAGAGCATACATAGTGGGGAACATGTGGGGAGTAAGAATTAAGCTCCCCTTTTATTGATTGAGGTGAAGGATAAAATTATGCCCCCTCCCCATTCAGAAACCAACTGGACTGGTACTTGAATATTACTGTGGCGATGGAACTGCATCCTCAGCAATGCCCAAGAACGGCCTGAGGAGCACAGGACAGGTTGTTCGACATGCACCAAGTTCTTACACACTTGGCTCCCATTCCCCAAACACCAGCATCTGCTACCTGAGAAAAGGACCTTGCTCTGCCTTACTGGGAGGGCCAGCCCTGCCTTAGCATCATGGGGGAAACAGGACGCTCAGAAGCGCCAAGAGTAAAGGATACTTGATGACAACAGCAAAAGTAGAAAGCAGTGAAATACTTACCAAAGACTGTTCTAGCAGGGACAGATTCTCTATTTAACCAAAATGATACTTGAGACAAGATCACAGTCATGATGCATGGAAGATAAGTCTGGATGACGAAATAACCAATCTTTCTTTTCAGGTGGAAATGTGCTCTCATTATAGTGTATTCACCTAAGGGAAGAAAGGAGACACTCCTTAGCAATAAAAGCAAAGTATCACTTCATCATATGTAATTTCTGTCTGCTTAGCAGTTCCTGCACAGGGCACTTAAGCCATGCTGGAGTGGCTCCAACCGAGGACATGTAGTTTGTCCTCATCATCAGTATGCTGGAAAGTGTCTGCAGACTCAAGATTGAGACATAAAATCCACAACCACAATTTCCTGCTCAAGAGAAAGACGGCTTGAAGTTCGTTTGGGACTCTCTTGTTACAACTTGGTCTTGGCTCCAAGTTTCACAAGGCTTCCACACTAGAGGTTCCAACTGCTTTTGTCCACAGCTGGTAGTCCGGGTCTGTCTGCCCATGACCGCAGCCACGTCACATTACGACCCCACATGGAGGCTGTGGGAAAATTCTTTTGCATACAAGGTTATGCGGCAACTGCAATGTGGAGCACTTACGACATGAAACTGCGCAGCCTCAGGAAGGTAAGCCAATCAGCACTACTGCGGAGTTGCCCCACTGGGTGTGGCGGACCACAGGTGGTTCCATTTGCTATGTTGCCCTTTATCATCATTGCCACACAGAAGCATTTTACTCACTCCCATTTAAGAAACCATGTTCCAGTCTGGAGAATAAATGATTGCACACCTGTCCAGCTTGTGGGCTTCCTGCAAGGATGTGGTTTATTCATTTATTTACTTAACACATTTGTATACTGCCACATTAGCACATAGGGTTCTCTGGGCTGTTCACAATTCAAAATACATAAAAGCAATTCAAAATAGATAAAAACAATTCAAAATAATAAAGCATCATAAAAAAGCCAATACAATAATGGATTTGGTGACAACAGTATAAAAATAACTCTAGCACGAAGGAGATCTTAATAACCTGGTTAAACAACTATCCATTAAGAATATTTCTTGAAAGGTCTTTCCCTGGTGCTTAAAGGAAAGCCAGGATGGCACCAGGTACACCTGACCCTCATGTGAATAGTACACTGAATTAGATGCACTCCTCACCTGATTTAGCATGGTGGTTCTTACGTTCTTATGAAAAGGTCCAATCACTTTCACAGAATTTCATGGACACACTTTTCACTGTCTGTTCCATACAGTTTTAAACACCGTGATTTGAAGCAGCCTAGTGTCCAATTATTGCATTCCGGTAACATTAGCAATTACATAATCAAGACCGCAATCTTATGTATTCTTACTTCAGTGTGACCTTCTAAATAATCATGAATAGTATTGCACTGTAATTTGATGATGGTATAGCATTAAATCCATCTCAAATGGTCCTATATTGGGCTATTTCTATTACAAAGAATATTTTCAATCAAGCTCAGCCAACTTTACAGATAATTTGCACTAGACTGGAGCCAGGGTGGCGTAGTGGTTAAGAGCATGGGACTGGAACTCGGACGATCTGGGTTCTAGTCCCCGCTCAGCCATGGAGCCATCTGGGTGACTTTGGGCCAGTCACAGACTCTCAGCCCAACCTACCTCACAGGGTTGCTGTTGTGGGGATAAGATGGAGGAGGAGAGATCATGTAAGCTGCCTTGAGCCCTTTGCAGGAAAAAGGCAGGATATAAATCAAAATAAATAAATCAATAGATCTTAGTACTCTAGGGCTGCAGAACTGTTTTGACATGGTGCACATGATGCACATGACGACAGGGAGCATGGTCCTGCCCTGGCATTTTTCTGTGCACTCGGAGAAGGCAGGGAACTGTGTCTGGAGACAGCTCAGTCCACTTGAGTTCCGAGTGAACAGCAGGGATAGGGCAGCTGAACATCAAGGCTTGCCTGAAGTCACACTCTAGATACCGATTCATGGTGCCTACACTCATGTGGCATCTCTGCAGAAACAGCATTCAACCTAAGACATGCTATTTAGCTCCCATGAAAAAATGGATCAAAACAGCATATTTATTGTAAGGAAAATGTTGGTGGAAAGGCCCATATGCTGGATCTATATGATTCCCTGGGTTTGTGTAGGGTTTAAGTCACATCTCCATTAAAACAAAGCTGGATTTTCATGAATGATTGAATAAACAAATGAGCAAGCACGAAAATAGGGCCAAGAACAAGTTTCTCCATATCAAAGTATGCAGACTTCCCAAAACTGATTGTCACTGGCAACCTTCCATGAAACTTCTGCTTGAGTAGGGCACTTCCCAGCTAAAGGGATATCCAGCAACTGTACCAAACAAGGGCTAGCTAAATCTAGGCACCCCAATCCAAGTAAGGTGATCCAGGTGCAAAAGCAGCCTTCTATAGAATGTACATCCCATTGAAAGCAACGGTGCAGATAGGCAGCATCCATATTTGGATGCACATCTGAATGTACAATGAATTTGCTTCAAGTCCTGATTCAGGAAATGAAAAACAGGCAACAGCGCTCCCCTATGCCATTTGCACATCTTTGCGGCCGAGTCACAGCACTAATATGGAATGGGAAGAGAAATTTTTTTAAAAGGGTCTAGAACTTTACTTTTTTGCCCTCTCTTTTTTTCTTCATGGATTATCCCCATGGTTTTAAAATTAAAACAAGTGCATTTCTAATTTGTCATTTTTAAGGTGGGAGTGTAACAGCAACAGTAGCAACAACCCAAAGTGTAAGCAAAATACATAATAAACAAAGTTCTTCCATGGATTTTCACTTATTTTCTTATCTTAGGGCTCTGTAGAAACAAAGAACATCTTAGAAATCCATTCACAACTAACCCCGATTACAGGCCTCCTGCAAGCTTGATGAAGTCCAGAAAATCCATAGCTGACTGATGCTTTCCCTGTGCAAAATCGGATTTTTGTATTTTGCTAATCCCTGGTTACAATCTGCGTCCTGCCCTTTGTGATGCGCCCTGCACTCAGAACCCAGCCTGGCCAGATATAACCTGGGACTTTAGCAGCAAGAAGAGGGGAAAAATAAAACGCCAACTTTTGATGCTGAGAATCGGTCAAAAGCATCTTAGGACACCTCAGTGTTGCTGATTCCTGGACACAAACTTTGGAATTCCTGTGGAGAAGCTGCTTGTTAGTTGAGGCCGAGTGAGAAAGCAGGATCCGAAAGCCCTGCCGACAGGTGCGTGGCAGCCTGGAGCACCTGCCGCTCGCTTTGGGTTGTCGCCTTGCTTGGAGAAGGTGCTGGGCACAATTCTAGGAGATGCCTCGGCACACTATCTGGATCTTTCTCCTGGTCATTCTGAAGGCGAGGGGCGAGCTGCCTTTCATTGCAGAAAACAATGCAGCAATGATGGTGAACTGGTAAGAGACTCTTCAGTGTTGCTCTTGGTTGGTGTTGTTTATCTGGCTAACCTCCCTCCCTCCCTGCACCGCACTGCCACATGGAGTATTGTTGCTTTAATTACTAACTTCTGCAATTGTTTCCTCCCCAACCCCGCTCCCCCCAGCAATACTGCGGCTTTGATTTCTGAATTCGAGCGTTCTTGTTCGGTGGAGACTGAATGTGTACATGCTGTGAAATATTAAAATAAAAAAATCGTAGCTGATCGTCCTAAGACAATTTTAAGATTTGCATCGCATGCTGCAAGATGGCCTGCACCCCCCGCCCCCGCCGTTTAACTTTTGAGAATGTCGAGGCTTGGAAAACAGCCAGCCGAGATCTCTGGGGGGTTCACGATTAAAAGAGCCTGCTTGTTCTGTTGCTGATGGAACGGAGACAACTTGAAAAGCGGCCGCCCCCCTTTTCCAAACCCTTTGTGCGCGCGCGCGCGTGGGGGGGGGCGTGCCTCTGCTTCTTCGGAACCTCTTAACGACCCCCGCGGCTCGAGGGAGCAAGCAGCTCGCCCCCCCCCCCGCACGCGCGCCCCAGCCTCGAATGCGCCCGGGAGCACGGCGGGGGGCGCCCCGCGTCGGTCAGCGGGCCTCTCCGCAGGGGGAAGGGCGCTGCGGGCACCCCCGGCCTGCGCCCCGGGCCAGCGCCTGCGCTTCTCCCAGCGGCGCCTTCCCGCTCCTTAGCAAAAGTCCAGCGAAGGCGTTACGTAACCCGCCGGCGCTTCTTGTGTCTGCATCCCCACGTGACTGCTGGGCCTGGTCCAGCCCCGCTTCTTCCCCCACCCGCCTCCTCTAGGAGCGCCCCCGCAAAGGCAAAGCAACGTCGCCCTGACGTGGAAAGCCTGAACCCAGGCCGACTCACGTGGGTGGCTGGGCCGGGATTAAAGCTTCTTTGGTTCCCTAATGCTGCCACATCTGGCGCCTCCACTTCCAATTATGGAGGAAATGGAAATCCTTCGCGTTAGCGCCTCTTTTCCAGCCACGTGCTCCTTCCTCCGCCCCCGCACTCAGGACGCACTGCAAAGCCAGGCAACAGCTGCCACCTTCTCTCCTCTTCCCGCCCCGCTTTCATCAAGCAAATCATTTTAAAGCTCGGAGAGGGAGAAATCATCAAACGCGTGTGGGCGCTTCTGTGCTTCCTTTCGGGAAAGAAGCCAGCGCCGGCTCCGCTTTTGCAAAGGCAGACCTCCTCCCTCCCTCGTCCCCGAGTCGCCTTCGGAGTTGAGGCAAGGTCTTGGGCATCTCTCCACCATGGAAAGTGGCACTGCTGCTCCCAAGCGGGAGATGCTCGCCTTGAATGGCTGCACCATCACAGGGGTACAGCTTTTGAGGCTCCTCCTATTTCTGGCGAGGAGTCTCCATCAAAGAAAAAAGATGGGGCAAGTGTAATCGGTACACCCTACCCTAACTTGTCCCCGCTTCGCTTAGTGGACATATATTCCCGAAAAAAACGAAACAGATGTTTTTTAGTTTGGATCACACCAGTATCTGTAGCTGCCTATGGGTACATAGCCAAGCTCATACTACATCATGCGCACTAAATGACCAGGAAAAACAATGGCTTCATGCAAGCATGTCTCCAAGGAGGGATGCAGGCATACTATCTGTTTCTCTCCCATGGAAAAGCCTCACCTAAGTGAGTTTACACTTCAGGTCTACTGATCTTACAGGACACCTTTAGAAAACCACATGGATCATTGCAGCTGTGATGCGTGCCACGAACATTTCTTCACATGACCTCCCAGCACACCACCCCATGCTTTCCAGTTGGAGCAAATGACTCTTTGCCAGCCACAGGGAAACAAAAATACATTGAGCATGTGCATTAAATTCAAGCCCCATTATAACATAGGAAGAATGTGAATCTGCGTTTCCTGCTTTCCTTAGGAATAAGCACCATTTCATCAGAGAAGAGAGTCATGTATTTTAAAAGAAAACACAGAACGAGCACCTGCAACCATATGCACACTTGGATTGCAGTCCCAACTATGCTTTAAGAAAGAACACTGCAGGGACTAGCATCAGCCTCCATGCTTCCAGAGCACCCTCACCAAGGGAGGGGCTGGCACTAAGCTTTTCCATAATGTTCTACCAACACCTACCATTCTCTGGATGGTCATCTGGTGTCCATCCTGGGCTGTGAGTCTTGGACTTGGTCCCTGTGATTATTCCCTAATTGCACCATTGCTTTAAATTTCAGAAGAATGTGTAATCCAAGCAGAGTTGTGCATCTGAATACGTACATGTGTGATGACCCAATTCTCCCCCCCCCTCCCCACTCTTTGTAATGTGAAATACCATACTGGGCCATCATGCCTACAGGTCTTCAGTGCAGTGACCCTGAACAAATTCCTTTAGGAAGGGAGATTGAGAATGCATAGATACCTCTACCATGTTGACTTTATCCCTGGTCTATAAGGGTATGAATCATAATCTAACTCACAGCTGGTGGCAAGGATGGAGGTGGGTACTGAAACCTCATTCATTCATTCATTCATTCGATTTATATCCTGCCTTTTCCCCCAAAGGGGTCAAGGCAGCTTACATCATTCTTCTCCTCCATCTTATCCCAACAACAACAACAACGACCCTGTGAGGTAGGTTGGGCTAAGAGTCTGTGACTGGCCCGAAGTCACCCAATTGGCTCCATGGTTGAGCGGGGACTAGAACCCGGATCGTCGGGTCTACTGAGTCCCAGTCCCATGCTCTTAACCACTACACCACACTGGCTCTCTTGAATGGGGGAAATGCTAATTTACATAGGTTCTACCCTCCCCCTCATTCTCTGTGTGTCTTTAAAGGACCCTGATCCCTACTTGAAAAAAGGGGGCATACTGACCGGGGAAGGGGGGCATTTGATTCCAGGAAAAACCTCAGGTAGCTTGGGGCAGCAGGAGATGGAGCATATGTGGGCAAAATGCCAGCTATTCCAGTAAGATCAGATGCAACTGTGCATCAGCATCCCTGTACCTTTATTTCTGCATAGAGAGCAGGATGATGGGGCAGATGGCCTTCCAGAGATCTGAGGTGTCAACTGAAAGGTTTGTGGCTCTAGCTCTATTGGCTGCTTCCTAACATGACCTCTGTTGGGTGGCTGGTCTCACACAATTGTATGGTCCACACCCTGGTTCTGTAACATCCAGGCAGGACTTGTACGGGCAAATGGCCCATACTGGATCAAACACCATGCACAGAATTTCTGTATCACATTTTCTTGTTTCACTTTCTTTCCAATGGACTCTCTTCAAACAGTCCCTTGCGACTGATCCAGTTGTGAGTGATCAAAACAATGCATGTGCATCTATCAATCAGCCCAATTAGAACTTCCTTTCCATTCCCCACTCAAATATTGATGAAACAACTTGAAAAAAATTGTGCTTTTGCTTTACTTACTGCAGCTACAAAAAGCAGAAGCTTAAAAGTGCAACCCAAACAGTGGTACACTGAAAAGGTGCGAGAAAGTCTGGAAGTATCTTGAAGGGAATCGTAACCTTTTCTGGGGAGCCACTGTGGGATAAAAGAGCCTACCATCCCTCCTCACCTGTGCTTGTAGTGATATTTTCAGAATCTACACTTTGTCCCATCAGGTGATACTGGTTAAGCCTTGAACCATCTTCGGCTACTACAACAGATGCTGCCGGGGTGTGAGTCCACACATAAATCACTTCAGAATTGGGATAAGCATCTGGGGAAAGAAGAAAATGCAACAAAATAAGCCTATTAGTTCATTTCCATATCCTGGAATGTTACATGGCAGGCAAAACTTAATTGCACCAAGGCTGAGCTCCAGAGCTTTGGGGACAAGCTCGTTTCAGTGTCAAAACAGTCTTGGGGCATGGGGAGTATTGATGAAAGGGAAGGATGTGCAGGGTGACCAAAGAGAAAGTTCAGATCTTTTAGGGCAGGGTGCTCAGACCTTGTGTTTCCCTCTTTGGAAATGAAGTAGTGATGATTAATACTGGTGTACAAATGCCCATGTACCGTGGACATACATAGACTTTTGTGTTCCTGAGTTTTCAGGAATCATAAGAATATTTCCAAATTTCATTTTTTCCTTTGTCCTGTAAGGGTCAGTGAATATAATATTTTAACAATTTCCAGTGTTCTCACAAGCTTGCTATAGAATGCATTTGTTCATATGTAAGGTGCCATACGGTGTTCTTCATGGGTGAAAATGGGAAATGCTGAATTCTACAGCCATTCATTTAGCTCAATCTGGAGCCTTCCAGATGTGTTAAGAGTACAACTCTGATCAGCACTAGTCAGCATGGACAATAGTGAGCAACGCTGGAAGGTGTAGTCCAAAACATCTGGAGAGCACCAGGTTAGGGAAGGCTGATTTAGTCAATGCTTACAAGCATCTCTAATAATTTCAAAATTCCTGCACAGAATTTCCCATAGAAAGCAATAAGTAGATTGAAGCATTTGAATGGAGCCAGTTATGCATATATAGGCCCTTGTCAGAGTGGCAATGCTCTCTCATTCAGAGAGGAAATCCTCTCTAACAGCACTTTTGGCCCAGAGGCTGAATCCCAGTTCAGATAGGTGCTTGGGAGGTACATTCTAGTAGTGGGCAAGGCCAAAGTCAAAGGTGAAAGAGTCAAAATTTAAAATAAACCAGCTTATTTTAACTTAAAGATCTTACTGCCAGTAGCTAAACCTTGGGAGAGGCATTCTGACCTTTCAGAATGAAGAAAAACACTGCACAAACACCAAGACACGACCAAACCATTAGTGGCTGATGGCTGGAGAAGAGGGTCTGGCCAGGAAAGCCAAATTTGGCCCCAAAGCCTAAAGTTTTGCCCTCCTGTTCTACACTGACTGGCAGAAACTGTGCAGGGTTTCATACAGGGCTTCCCCATCCCTACTGGAAGATGCTACGGTTGGACCTCAGCCCTTTTGCATTCAAAGCATGTGCAGCCCTGCAGAGCTACAGCCTTTATGGAGCTGGCCCTGCCATTAGGCAAATGAGGCAAGTAACTCCAGTAACCCATGCTGGGAGGAAGCCTCTGGCATTTGCTCCCAGCTGGAAGCCAGGGCTGTGCGTTCCATATTCAGAAGTTGGCTGCTGCATATGGAATTGAGGATAAAGGTAGCACATCTGGCAGCGAAATGTCTTGAGATGCCTTGAGCCCTATCCCATTCTATGTATGTTTTGCAAATAAAATGATCTGAGTGAAAACTCCGCTCAATATGCAGCCATTTATGTTGGGTTCTTTCTACATATGAACAGCTATAGGACTCTCCTGCTCTCCGCTGCAGTTTTGTCTAAAGTAAGAGTGGATGCATATTTAGGTCCAGAAAGATTTCAGCAATGTAAGGAACAGTTATAGGGCAAGCATAACTTGTTACATCCCATGAAGCAAATTTGACCATCCAGATGTGCTAGCCCAAGAACAATTATTCTTTGTTCTTGGGCTAGCATATCTTTGATAAGAACATCCATGATGCTAAACATACATTCTTGAGTAACATGTACACACATATGGTCCTGTAAATGGTTCCCTCCAATTATAAGTATTCTGCTGATGACCCAAGATCTGAATGCAATGCACTTTCCTGCAGAATAAAGTACTAAGAGGAAAATAGAACAGAGTCAAACTGGGAAAAAACATTCCCTCATCATAAAGCTCCAAACTAGAACCAAACCCAAATGCATAGGACAAGACTGCTAAACTGGAAATAAGGGAACAATAACCACATCCTCTCCCAGAGAAGCGGCACGGGAACAGTTATTTCCCAAGGAGGAGGAGAATGGCTTGCCAAATTAAACTTTGCAAATTGTCAGGGAAAATAAAATTTCTGAAACAACCATTTTTTTGTCTAACTGTTTAGCCTTGTCAAAATGTATGATAGTTTTACAATTGCCAAAGTCAAGCAATATTCAGAAATAACACACAGTAAAATTAAATTCACGAAGTAAATATTTTTGGATTCAATGAGACTTAGTGCCAGGTATATAAGTCAATGGGATTACAATAGTAGACAGCAAATCAGATGCAACATGTGTGGTCTTAGACCTTATTCTTAACTATTTTTCTTGATGTCATGAGATCTGAAAGCTTGTGTTGGTCTTCTCTCAAGAGAAATGTGGATGCCATTGAAGGGTGCCTTTAGATATCCTTTGGTCAACTATTGCAAGATTCTATGGATGCTTATCTCCGAATGACTGTCTACATCACACCTTTCAGATTAGTTTCCATTACCATATTTGAATGGCATGGGGGGGTATTTTTACAAGGGGCTCCTTTGTTTAGAATTTGTGCTTACAAACTTGGAGGCTAGAAGTGAAATGCATTATTATAACAAGAAATGGAATAAGGATCAAAATGGCCTCTCCTCCAGTGAATGCAACATTCAGCTTATTAAATTCTATGTTATTTGGCACAATCCTCAAAATGTTGCCTAAATCAACATTTTGCTGACATGCACATTTATTTAAATTCAATTGATGATTAATTAGCTAAAATTTTTAATCCATGTTACTTTAAAGAGGATATTTATGTACTGACTATTTGGGAATTGCTCTGTGATATCTCTTCCTTGGAAGGAAAAGTAAATATGAATGAAGCAAGTTCGCTGATCACTGATTCTGGGGAGCGGCAAGTGGGTCCTTAACCCCACACTGAAGATTTTACAGGAGGTTTTCGGCTACAATCAGAGTTCACTTAGTTCCACATGCACACCTGCCATTTACTGCTGCCACCCTAGTTTGTTCGGCGTGCTCTGAATGTTGCATATGCAGTTTTCCTTACAGTTGCACTGTGACATGGATTTCTGGCTGCACAGTTTGTTATTATTATGCATCCTGATACGGCTTGGAATTACACTGCATCATTGAAATTGTAGTCCAGCTGCCGTTTTCATGTCGAATTATAATCCTAGGGTTTATTTCCTTGCAGTTATTTTTCCACCCAACTTTATTTGAGTAAGAGGCTTGGAATAAACAAAACATACAAAACTGGTATTGCAAGGATGCCTGATTCTTACTCCAACACTGATCTCAGTTACTACTCCAACACTGGGTGAACATGACATTAGCCAAGCAAAAGTATTTCAGCTTTTGGTAATATTGCCTACAATTTCAGAACAATATACCAGTTTTACTTATTTTGCTCTGATTTCCACTACTGATGCAATTAGACCTTCTAATGTGGCTTTAACAACCCAGGATTGGCTTGCCAGAACATCTCTGTAATGAGTTTTACTTGCTCTGTGATGGTTCATCTGCTTCCAAGTCCTCTTTCCCCCTTTGCTCATTGACGTTAATATTTATAGCAGAATATTTAGTTTTAGATGCAACATTTGATCTGGAATGAATCTGAAAATTGATTTTGAACTGTGCTTTGATGGTGGCTGCATAATTGTCTCTCAAAGGAAAGGAGGAAGAATCCCTTATTTCAGCTGCTATTGTTTTTCTTTTGTGTGCCTTCCTGTTAGACTTGTCAACTTCTTGTCACTATAAATCCTGCTTTGAAAAGGACCACAATGGCTGAACATTGTAACTGGACTATTTTGAAGTAAAATCTTTAGAAACTGAAAACATCTTGGGAGGTCCTTGATAGACTGGAGCTCTTGTAAGCAAGACAACAGAATGTTGACTCAAAAATCAAACATAGGATGGTTAGCTAATTTGACAAAGCTGAGTATATTTCACGTAGTGTCTGCAGCAAACGCCTGGGTGTTGTATACAATCTAGTGTGCATGAGGTGGAGAAGTCAGAGGCTGCATACAATGTCTACAAAGTATGCAAATATAAGTGTAATGTTTATTTATTTATTTAGCAAATTTCTATGCCGCCCCGTTCGCCGAAGCCTCGGGGAGGCTCACAAAACTATCAATTAAAATATTGTACAATAAAAATATAAAACATGCCTTCATGTTAAGGCATGAGCTCAAATATCTACAAGAATTGTTTTTGTAAAGTTTTTCTTTCTTACAGTACTATGCATAGCCTGATGCATGCTTTGAATAAAAACGTTGGTGGAAGGGACCAGAGGATTGGTCAGTGCAACTACCAGCCACCCAATGGCGTGCCAGCCAGTGCTCCAGAGGTCCCAGTTAAGCAGTGGAGACTGGTGAGAGACCTTCCTGATGGTGGTGACCAGAGATGTGGGATCGCTATCTTGTGAACTTTTAGAGACCGAAATTCTCCTAAGCTTTGGGGGGATGCTATGCCTGCTGCTGCACGTTATTGCCTGCATTAGTGTTATCACTGTTATTCAGATTTCTTATTCCTCTCAGTGGCTCTTTTATTGATTTAGTGCCTTGCATTTAAACCAACCGTTTTAGCATTTTCCCTGGGCTGCCTTGGAAGCATTTATGCTAAAAGGTGGAATATGCATCTTTAACATAATGAATAGACATTCTTCCTAAATATGCCTAAGAGTGCAAGATCTCATACACACAACTTCATGCCCATAACTGCTGCTCAGGTGGTATGACAAAGTCATGTGCATTTATATAATGTGAGAACCACACAGCTTGGCAAATTTCCTCATTTTTGGAAATTAGGGCCAGGAAAATAATTCTTCGCTTGCTACAAAGGCCCTCCTTTCCCCTTTCTACAAAAGGTGTAGGAAAGCAAATGTCCCATTTCTTGAGTGGGTGGCGTACCTTATGCCTCATATCCAACCAGGGGATTTGCAGTGTTAGGACTCCAGTGTTTCTAAGAGTGCACACATT